TTGTTTGAAGTGTTTGACATATTTGTCCCTGTAACCTTGTACATGTAATTAGCTTGAAGTCATTTTCTTTCTCAAACTTTGTTGACTCTATCCCAAGCAGCTACCAGCCAAATCTTATTAATCCATGCGTTTTGGTTCTTCAAAACAATCCGTTTGAAGTGTTGTTGACCTTTAGAAAAGGTTGGTCATTTTCATTCACGTACTTTGATGAGCTCTATCCCAAGAAGCCACCCGCCAAATATTATGATTCTGTCTTTCGATTATTCAAAAGAAGTCATTTGATGTTTTTGACCCCTGTGACCTTGAAAGTAGGCCAAGGTCATTTTCATTGACAAGCTTCCTCGACCTCAATCCAAAGAAGATACCAGCCAAATATTAAGATTCTATACCTTTCATTTCTTCAGAAGAAGTCGTTTGAAGTGTTTGACATATTTGACCCATATGACCTTGAAAGTAGGTCAAGGTAATTTTCGTTCTCAGAATTTGTTGGACTCCACCAAAAGAAGCTCTCAGCCAAATATATAGATTCTATACCTTTCAGTTCTTCTTCAGAAGTCTTTTAAAGTGTTCGATACATTTGACTCCTGTGACCTTGAAAGAAGGTCAATGTCATTTTCATCTTCAAACTTTGTAAGGCTCTTACTAATTAAGCTTTCAGACACATATCATGACTCTAGGCTTGTCCATTATTCAGAAGGAGTTGTTTGATGTGTTTGACATATTTGACACATATGACCTTGAAAGTATGTCAAGGTCATTTTCCTTTTCAAAATTTGTTGAGCTCCACCAAAGGAAGCTACCAGCCAAAGATGAAGATTCATTAAATTTCAGTTCTTCGGGAGAAGTTGTTTGAAGGGTTTGACATATTTGACTCCTGTGTGTGACCTTGAAAGTTTTTTAAAGTCATTTCATTTGCAAACTTTGTGGGGCTCTTTCCCAGGAAGCTACCAGCCAAATTTGAAAATTCTATATCTTTCAGTTCTTCAGAAGAAGTCGTTTAAGCATTTGACATATTTGACCCCTGTGACCTTAAAAGAATGTTGAGGTAATTTTCATTCTCAAACTTTGTCTGGCTCTTTCCCAGGAGGCCACCAGCCAAATATTAAGATTTTATACCTTTCAGTTCTTAAGAAGAAGCTTTTTAAGTGTTTGACACATTTGACCTCGTTGACCTCGAAAGAAGGTCAAAGGCATTTTCATTCTCAAACTTTGTTGGGTTCTTACCAACGAAGCTTTCAGCGAAATATCATGACTCTAGGCCTGTCCATTCTTCAGAAGAACTCGTTTAAAGGACAAGTTGACGAACGATGACAGACGGACACTGGACGCCGCACCAGGACATAAGCTCACTTGTCCTTCGAGCAGGTGAGCTAAAAATAGAACACAAAGTTATTCCCAAATGCTGTCATCATGTGACTTACGCTGCTGTATGTGTATTTTAATGAAGGCTATAGCCATATTTGTTTCAGTGATACTAGCAATGAAAATAAGAGGCCCATGGGCCTTAACGGTCACCTGATATATTTATACAGAGAGTTGATGTTGTTTTTAACATGTACAGAAGTATTACTCAAAGTGACAAAAAAACAATAAAACCACCTTATTCAATATCTAGCATACAGATTTAAGACTAAAAAGTATTTGAAACTAGCACCTCTGATTCTAAACAAGGAAAATGAAGAAATTTTAGCACACTGACTCCTTTGGATCCCAANCCTCCTCCTTCTCCTGAATTGTGCATACCATCAAATTGCTATCCAATACTGATAATGCTAACCCAAATTGAATAACTTCCAATGGAAATTAAACAAAAATTGGTCCAAAATGTGATTTCCCTATATAAACAATAGGAAAGTTTACCCCCTCCTCAGGGGTACACGTGAGACCCCAGGGTCATGAAATTCACAATTGTGGTAAAGCACCTTGAGACTCTTTCATCTATGAAGAGTATTTGATTCTACCATATCTGGGTCTTGAAAAGAAGATTTTTGAAATTTTAGTCAATTTGACCCTTTTTGCGCCCCTCAGGCCCATGGGGGCTTGGGACTTACTGACGTTTGTCCATGGAAGGCTCCTGCAAAATTTCATTGAAATTGGTTGTTTACGGACACACGACGGACGACGGGCGACAACGGACAAAAGGCGATCGCAATAGGTCACTTGAGACTTTGTCTCATGTGACCTAAAAAGCTGGTTACTGACTGGTCCAATCAGTGGATGATCTGCAGTATTTCAAGGGACTTGATGCAACTCAAGGCATATAATTCACTCAAAAAGAAATCTCGTGATCTCACATATGGACCTCTCCTACCAAATTAGCTGTTACTGTTACAGTCTCTGCTGAAGAATGCACCTTTCTGATGGGGTAGTGACAAAATAAATAGACACAATTTTAGCAGTTATTTTATTTGCAGTCATTTCCTCCCATCTTGCAAGTATAATGTGTTTTTGCTATTTCATTCTGAATTAGCAATGTAACATGTATATTCCAACAGGTTTATGTCCATTTCCTCTTCCTTGGTTTAGATTAATATTTGCTGTCCTTTCATATTTTCGATCATGAATCCAATGTTTTCTTAATATTTTGTTTTCCATTTTTCTCACTTCTTTTTTCTTTCTTTCTTTTTTAGGGTGTTTTTCCTCTTTGCGTATATCAATATAAAGAAATATACCAAAGTTCATCCCAACTAGTTCCATCCATTCTTTGTACTGCCTTCAGCTTACAGTGTTACTGGCAAATTAGGACTCTTTCTACAAACAAGACATAAAAGGATATAAATGAAATGATAAATGTGTCCCATGATGAATCAACTTAGAGACAATTACAGATGTCTCCTTCAGATCCCTGCTGACAGAGATATAAAAAAATCTATTTGGATTTAAAACTTGGATGGCAGAGAAATTGTAACGAAATGACATTACCAACCCACATTAGTTAACCCCTAAATGTGATACAGTAGATTTTTTGTATAAAGTTTAATGTTATTTTAAATGTTTTTTAGTGGGATATAAGGATACAATAAGGTAATGTAGGGCAACTCAGTAAAATGTCAACAAAAGTCAACACAAGGTAATGTAGGGCAACTCATAAGTGACGTTTTTACTTGTGAAAATGTAATGTCTCGTTTATTTTCACTGCATTAAAGATATGTTTTTATCAAATGGAGAATTCATGATATTCACTAGTAAACTATAATAAATACTGATACTGTAGGCTTTACCATCATAGACAGTAAATGTGGCCTCTATTTCCCAGAAGGCTTTCACGCATGAGGAAGCACCGGAAGTGGACAAAGTGTTTACAGATCAAACCCCGGTGGCGCTTGGGGGTTTGAAAAAAAATGCGAAAGAAATTTAAAACAAAACACTATCTCAGTTTGGTTTCAAAGTGATCATTAAGAACCTAGTGACAGTAACTATTTGGCTTAATATGGTTGTGTACTTACTTGTTGCATTGGACAGTCCTGCAGGTCTAGGTAGTGAACAGCTTGTGTTGGACAGACCTGCAGGTCTAGGTAGAGAACAGCTTGTGTGGGACAGACCTGCAGGTCTAGGTAGTAAACAGCTTGTGTTGGACAGACCTGCCCGTCTAGGTAGTGAACAGCTTGTGTTTGACAGACCTGCAGGGCTAGGTTGTTAACAGCTTTTGTTGTACAGACCTGCAGGTCTAGGTAGAGAACATCTTGTGTTGGACAGACCTGCAGGTCTTGGTAGTTAACAGCTTGTGTTGGACAGACCTGCCGGGCTAGGTAGTGAACAGCTTGTGTTGGAAAGACCTGTAGGTCTAAGTAGTGAACAGCTTGCGTTGGACAGACCTGCAGGTCTAGGTAGTGCACAGCTTGTGTTGGACAGACCTGTAGGTCTAAGTAGTGAACAGCTTGTGTTGGACAGCCCTGCAGGTCTAGGTAGTGAACAGCGTGTGTTGGACAGACCTGCAGGTCTAGGTAGTGAACAGCTTGTGTTTCACCAACAGAGTACCTGAGGAGTTAAGAAGAAGCATCAGTGTGGCATTTATCAAAAATGTACAGCTTAATAACCCACTCAAAATATTATCATCAAAACAGTTCGCAATAAATCAATGTTTTCCCATTCAACCAATACACATTCATATAAATAATAGCTGAAGCAAAGAAAGGGAAATTTGAATTAAAACAGAGCACATACATACAAGTGGAAGTGAACACGCTAGAAATTGTATCAATGAACAAAAATGATGTACTTATTTAAATCTATCAGCAATGTCTCAATTCATTCTTTGTATAATTTTCATAGTTGTGATTGTGAACAATTATTCATTCTCTTCATTATGTAAAGTACATCCCACGAAAAATTGGGACATGAAGACTTTGTTTACTGTCCTTAAACGATTCAGCACATTACTCTCACCTTGGCTTCGTTTAGTGATGTCCATCATCAATGACTGGGCTTCGTTTAGTCTTGTCCATCATCAATGACTGGGCTTCGTTTAGTGTTGTCCATCATCAATGACTGGGAGGCACACATTCATTGACCGAACATCAATACTTGACTTAGTGAATCATGCCACACTCCAATGATAACAAGACTAAAAAACTATTTCAATAATATAGCATACACCTCAACCACTGGTTCTTAGTGTAGCATACCACACTCCAATGATGACAATACTAGAAAACTAATATAACATACACCTCAACCACTGGTTCTTAGTGAAGCATACCACACTCCAATGATGACAAGAGGAGAAAACTAATACAGCATACACCTTAACCACTGGTTCGTAGTGTATCATACCACACTCCAATGATAACAAGACTAGAAATCTAATATAGCATACACCTCAACCACTGGTTATTAGTGTAGCATACCACACTCCAATGATAACAAGAGTAGAACACTAATATAGCATACACCGCAACCACTGGTTCTTAGTGTAGCATACCTCACTCCAATGATGACAAGAGTAGAAAAATAATACAGCATACACCTTAACCACTGGTTCGTAGTGTATCATACCACACTCCAATGATAACAAGCCTAGAAAACTAATATAACATACACCTAAACCACTGGTTCTTAGTGTAGCATACCACGCTCCAATGATAACAAGAGTAGAACACTAATATAGCATACACCTCAACCTCTGGTTCTTAGTGTAGCATACCACACTCCAATGATGACAAGAGTAGAAAACTAATACAGCATACACCTTAACCACTGGTTCTTAGTGTAGCATACCACACTCCAATGATAACAAGAGTAGAACACTAATATAGCATACACCTCAACCACTGGTTCTTAGTGTAGCATACCACACTCCAATGATGATTATACAAGAACCATTCTGTAATAATATATTATACACCTGCAATATCACACCCCAGGTAATCTAACCAAGCTTCAGTATATAATACTGACCTGCAGTGACAATACCAGTGTGTACTACAGTGCAACAGTTAACTAACACAAAGTATTGCTATCTCGTGTATGTAATTAGAACCATATTACAATAATAATAGGCAAGTACCGTGCCCCAGTGAATCACACCACAGTCCAATGACAGCAAGTTTGAATTGTGACGACGCCTGTTACAAAATTCCTCAAAGATACCCCTGTATTCATAAATAGTGCTTATTGAAGTCACTGTACTTAGAGCTAGTTTCACGTATCAAAATATACCAGATATACGAGTTAGTACAGGGAAGAAATTTGATTTACAACCTTATATAACCCCACATTCATTGTATCCAGTGATAAAGAATTATTACATTAGAAGGCTCCAACAAAAAAGTGCCGTAATTCGTTGATATCAATAAAAATCATTTAAATATTGCACTCGCCCAATAAAAAAGGTATATGAATAATATATTCTATGTTCCTATGATAAAAACATTCTATAGAATCAATCATCAAAGATATTGACCATAAAAAAATCAGGCAGAATGTTTCGCCTACCAAAAGCAATGTATTCTATACTATACCTACCACGCTGCAATGACAAAGAATTATTGTACTACATCAAAGATCATAAATTGTTGTATCAATCTTCAATCATATCAGTCAAATCCACCATTCCCATAATAAAACATATATGATATATTATCCTCAGAAATTATCAAAGATCCTTGAAATATTGTACTCTAAGCTATATGATTCATAATACTGCTCTAGATTTAAATACAATTCTCATAAAAATCAAAAAAATGTTGCATTTCTCTTCCAGCAAAATAATAAATATCTACCACACTCAAGCAATAAAGTATTATTGTGCCAGACTTGATCAAGCATGAAAAGTATCATTAGAAAAAAAATAATCAAAACACAAGAATGTAACATTTTCCTTCTACCAAAACAATCCACATTTAGTATATGCTAAAATGAAAATGAATTGTTTTGCACTTGACTCAAACATAGAATTTATACTTCAAAATCAATAATCCAAATCATCTATTTGCCACCTCCAATGAGAACCTCACCAAAAACCATAAACAACTTGTGTCTGGAAAAGAAAAAAGAGAAGAGGCAACCACACATATGCTTCCCAGAACTAAGTACAACAAAGAACTCTCTCGTTAAAATCCTAAAACTTAAAACTCGGTTATAGGGGAGCTACCCTAGCTCCTCTTCTCCTAAGACAAGGGAACAATCTTTTCAGAAATCCAGGTTTTTTGACAGGATTGATTTTTGAGCTGCAACCAGAATCACCAGCATCTTCGTCAACATCTGAAATTGAAAATAGTTCATGGTTGTCTTGAACCTTACTAAACTGTCATGTGGTGAGGGATGTTTTGGCATTAATAGGAGTTTAGACAAACTAGCAAAAGAAACTTGTCAAAGGCGAACTTATGATCTATAGACACTAAAATCTCACAAGACAGAAAGTCATCTCTGACCATATATAATAATTTTCTCCCACCTCTACGTACGCAAGCTACACGTGTCCCATATGGAAAACCCATGAGAGGTTACTCGATTCAACAAAGGGGCACCTTGTGACCAATTCTGCAGCTACATTTTTTTTAAAACAAAGCAGAGTAGGCATTTGCGCATTTGAGGTTGTCTCACAGAAATATACATTTATTCAATAAACTTGATGTCAAGGTTTTGCACTGTTTTTTTTTTTTTTACAGTATACCATACTTTTCGAAGCTCTTTCCAAATATATTCTTGGTTAACTTAGACAATACATGTACTGTTGCATTTGCATTGAACTTTATCATATTCCCAGGAAAGAGTTGGGAAAAAACGAGTTAGCCATAATGTAGAGGAATGCTGTCCACAGGTGAAGAATGTGGGTTCAGCCTCAGGTAGAATTTTCCTATTCCACATAACCAACCAATGATAGACTCTATCATCAAAAATCTTTTTGAAGATTTTCAAGCGAAATTTGCTCGATGTATACAAGCAGTATACAGAAAAAAAAAGTCTGAACCTTAAAATACAGGACATGACTATCTGAGATAAACATAAAGAAGCTAAATTTGCACAATGGATGGTAGCAGTGCACAGTAAAACAGGATGCCCAATGCATGGGCCTTCATCACTCATCTGGCATTAATTCCACACTTGTAACCTTAAAAGTGAACTTAAAACTATGACTATAATTCATTCAAAAGAACTTGTTAAAAGATGTGAACCCATTGACCCCTGTGACCTTGAAAGTCTAACAAGGTCACATGTCATTAATGTTGGACAAACTTTCTAGCCTTTCATCTCAGCATGCAACTTACCAAGTATCACCACCCTTAACCTCTTGATTATTGGAATAAGGTCATTTAAAGGTTGAAGGTCACCAAATGTGACCTTGAAAGTGGGTCAAGGTCATTTATATTAAAAAAAAGTTGATAGCTCTTCATCTGAGCATGCTACTGGCATTATATCATCATCCTATGCTTTTTGGTTATTTTAAAAAAGCTGTTTAAAAGTTTTCAACACATTTGACCCCTGTGACCTTGAATATGGGTTAAGGTCATTGATGAGAATGTCTGTCAGTCTGTCTAGCATCATTTTTTTATTTTAAACAACTTCTTCTGAAATAACCAAAAGGCATATAGGGTGATGATATTTAGCCAGTAGCATGCTGGGATGAAGGGCTACCAAGTTTATTCAAATGAACGACCTTGACTTATATTCAAGGTTGCAGAGGTCTATTATCTTAAAGAGACTTTCAAAGTTGAACATTTTCTGAAGTTTTTCAAAATTGATTGGCTTAGTAACTATTTTTACTAAGAGAATGTGGTAAATCTGGCTGGTTTTTTTAGTTCTATCAAGCTTTTGTCTCTTTGAAATTATTCAACATTAGCAAAACACACATCAGTAACGCATTTGCACATATAAACAACACAATACAAGAAAACAAACTCAAAGAATTTAGATGGAAATTGCTTCATCTAATAACACCTTGTAAAAATTACTATACACTTGGAAATTGGTACCTAGCCCCCACTGTAACTACTGTGGAGACATTGAAGATCTAAATCATCTATTCGTACGATGTAGTATATATCTACAACAGTTTTGATCAAGAATCAAACACCTGAATTTTACAAACGAAACATATTTTACATGAAAAACTATAATACTAGGTTACGAGATCACAGGGACAGGATACCAGCTATTAAATACACTGCTAACCATAATTTCTTACACAATTTACAAGCTATTTTTACATCTCACATTTACTTTACACATTTTGGCAAGATGGTCAGAAGTCTCACAGCATTTAAAACACAAATCCTTGTCTGTGATAAATATCTTCATTACATTCAATATTAGTGAACAAAAAACCAAAACGGTGGATATACTTACAATATTTAGACTGAATTCAAAAATAGAATACAAATAATGAAATGGAGAAAACAGATGACAATTGAATGGTCACATTTAGGCGAGTTTATGACAGGCTGCAATCAAAGAATATGAAACAGAACTCCTGAGGCTGCTTTAATTAACATTTCATACACCTGTGACTTCAAGATGCGAAAGTACATCATTTACATTATGACATAGATTTTCCAGTTCTCCACATAAGATGAAGATATAAAAATGCAATGGTTGCAAATCAATAAGATAAACAAATTACATATATACCTTGTGGTACTGTGCAAAACACAAATCCAAAACATGGAAACTTCAACTTGCGTGAGCCATTGGATTTTCTCCTCTGAAAACAACCAGATGATATAAACTTACATAATTTCATTGACAGAGGTGTAGAGTTTTTATTTAATTAAAATCAACTTCCAGTGATTCACACAAAATCTATACAAACAATTAATCACTTTTGAGAATTCTTTTCAGTAAATTTAATATTCTCTTGTTTCATAACATATAACATGTACCGCACCCTTATTGGTACTTTTAAATTACAATTACAAAAAGGGGGGGGAGAGGTGTTTCCAAAATGGCCCCTCCTTTGATTTCAATTTTCTTTTGGTGAAGTGTAGACCTAAACACCTTATCACAACAAAAACACCCATTAAAATTCAAATGAGTATTTTATTCGTTTTTCGTAGGAGCATATTTTTTACCAAAAGAATGTTGTCAAACTAATAACGCATTGAAGGATAATTTTTGATGCAACAAAAACTAAGGATTATATACTACAGCCATCTCAAGTAATGATATTTTCCAGACAAAAATGTGTTCATCTTAGAATAAAAGTATCTTTTATAGCTTTTGTATACCAAAAATATTTTGATTATAGAAGGCAGAGATCATGAACTACCAGTCACAAAAACATCAACCCAAAATATTTGGTGGAACATATTCAAAGAAGGGATCAAATGACCATATTATGGTCTATACATCAAAATTCATGGCTATGTGTATAGTCTAATCATTATGACTGAAAACTGACAGAAAAGAAGAACATATTTGTTCCAGTTTAGATGGAATTCATGAATATTTAATCAACAGAGAAGATGTTTAGAAAAGATTTGTTGGTTTATTCCATTTCAAGATGGCCATCAAAACATTCAATCTACTGCCTAATTAGTTGTCAGATTCCCAGACAAGTTTCTTGCAATAGCAATGGAATTCAGAGATTGCATGTTTGTTTATTACTTTGTTTTTAAATATTTATTAAAGTTAGACGCCGTATTAACAGCTCATACATGACATTTACAGATAATGTTTTGCAAGATGCAAGAGTATGATATATGTGTTCGAATGGCAGACTTGGAAAAAAGAAGGAAGAAAAAAAGGATGCAAGGTTTTGAGTTTAATTGTGTTCAAGCTGGTGATTGCAGATTCACAAGAAAACAACTTATTTCAAGCTTTGTTGGAACTTCTTAGCCCTTGGGTACAACTGTTTAATTGTTTTCAAGCTAGTGATTGTAGATTCACAAGAAAACAACTTATTTCAAGCTTTGTCGGAACTTCTTAGCTCTTGGGTGAAACTGTTTTGGATTTCAAAGATTGCTATGATAGCCAAGGTAATAATGTATACTTGATGTACGAGCACATATTCCTATAGCTCTTTGACCAACTGGGTATTGGCAGTAGTAATCTTTTATTGGATTATCATCATTTGGTGTTGTGCTGTACTGAATCCTAACATTATATTTGGTCTGGCTAGTGTGTCTGGAACAAATCTGACAACAGATGAGGTCTTGAGAGTGCTGATTCACCCATATTTCATAATCTTTAAGAATTCAAACTTTGCTCTCTTGGAGAGAGCTTTAATTTGTTGTGTTCACCCTCTGAGTCAAACAGTTCGTTTTTGTAAGTAGAACCTTCATTCGAGTTCTCTTGTCTTTTCTGTCAGTTTCCTGTGATCTTTGATAAATTGGTCCCCTTATATAATTATCAAATTGAGACATGCAGTCACAATCTTTAGCACTTCATCAATTATATCAATGAAGCACATTTGATATTAATTGAGGTTCTAAAACATATCCAATGCTTAAGACAGCCATGAAAAGCCTGTAGATCAGGTTTTGCTCTGATCAGTCTTTAAAGATATGAGTACAATTACTGGTATTAATACCAGATGCCTCTTACATTGGCAGGTCGTCTCTAAAACCATAATCAACGACTACATGGTCGTCTTGCTCCAACCATGTGAGCTTGTCTATGATGTTTTTGTAATGCTTGTATCATTTTGGCTCCCAGAGAATGGTCCTACTGTGTCCAAAGTGCAGCCATCAGGTAGAGCTATGCTCATGAGTTTAAGATAACTATGCTCCGTCTGGCCACCGTAAGACATTTTCTGAAGCTTATGATCTGCACTTTTTTAACATAAATATATGTACCATCTATTAAGGCTGTAACTTTGTCTCCAAAGAATGTTTCTGAGAATAAATTAGTGTGTGAAAGTATATGTTCCCTACTCAAATGGTCAGGACCAAGGAACACTGGAACTTATTCAATGCTTGTACTATAAAATGAAAGGTTTTTGAAATACTAGGCAGGGAAATGCCAAAAAGAGCGGAACATTACAAGAGATATCTGTCTTCATCTTAACCCAAAACAGTAAAAGAGTATTTTGTGTAGTTTTGGTCAAAACTGAAGAAGAAAGGAATGGGACAAATTACAAATGGATTTTGAGTAACTGTTCTTTGACCAATCTGGCCAAGCTAAGCAGCCAGGGTCATCCAAGAGACAAAAGTTGAGAATGGAGGCTGATTGATTCTTTGATAAGACACTTCTAAAAGGTCATCAATTATTTCAGATGACCTACTTCATAACTGAAATTTAACATAGCTGGAAATAGTCCCTTTGCAAAGTTCTTCGAAAATCACTTGCACCTACCAAAATTTGAGTTTAATCTCTAATTAGTTGTTAGGTAACTGTATAAAGATATCTCTATTTGTTCATATCCAGAGCTATAAGATACATGTAGATGTTTACAAGGCCATACCCTCTGTTTATACAAAGTTCTATTACCCCTGAAAATACTGAAAACCAAATTTATTTAAAACCCTTCATTTGTATGGAAATAGGATTTAAATATCACTATGTTACCACTCTTGGGCCCCGCCCCTCTGCCCACAGGGGTGACATTAACCCTCTGTTTATACAAAATTGAGTCCCCTTTGCCCAAGGATGCTCCAGGCCAAAGGACTTGGGGCAATATGGGTAATTGGCCTCATAAAAAGTGAAAATTTCAATTTGAATTTATTTACCAATTTCTGTTATAAACATCATATCAGTTAAATAGGGCGATCTTACTTGGTGCAAATGTATTTCAAGGTGCATGTGTAGATGCCCTACCATCGCAACAAAATTGAGTTGCTATGCAAAAATAGACAAAATATGGTGTTTTTGGAAAATTAGCATGGACAAATGAAAGCCATGCATGTGACAAACAATTATTCTTTTCTAAAAATAAAATGGCAAATTTTCAATGTAAATAGCACAAAACAAACGTTATTAATGCATTTTACTATGAAAAAATGTCGGTTTATGCCATATTGCCATGTCTTTGCCATGATTTCATATTTAAAATTTCCGTGTATGTTTTCTATTGTTTTTTTTCTTTTCATTGTTTAAAAATATCTAGCCTCATAAAAACACATACTATAGATATCAAAGAATATTTCTGGTGATATTTTAAACTATTCAACTCAAATCAAAATGACTTTGCAAACTTACTTTGAATAATAAACCAAAAATGCTGCTGGAGGATGGCTTTCTCTCACTGCCAATGTCCAAAGATGGCTTGGTCATGTCTGTAAAAGAAGGTCGTCAAATGTGAAATATTTTACATTATTATTTTTATCCAGCTTTCTCACTCAAATCTGATGAGTACTTCTATTATGATTTAAATTTTGTATTGCTACTTTTAGAAGAAAAAAAAGCAATTTTATATGCAACACTCAATGTGGACTCATGATAATTATTTCAGCCACCTTAACCCTTTCACCCCTAGGTAACTTTAGTAGACTCTGCCATACATTGATCTGGATGAGTCTATTATGGCCTACAGTGGTGAAAGAGTTAACAACCATGCAAGAAGATCAAAGAAGAACAAAGGTTGATCCCTGTGATCTAACCATGTCAAGATTTTGTCAAATTGGTACCAATTTGTTCACCAGTTCTTAGAACCCTGGCATCACATGTTACTGCATATGGGTAATGTGCCGATACATTGGGGATATATATTCAGTACCATGACACTGACTTAAGACTTGTCAGTCTCCCAATCCATACAGGAACAAGTGGTAAGTAGTTGAACTTGTGGCCATGAATTAAGTCCAAACCAACAGGTGACCAACAGTAACTGGTCTTAACCTAGTTTATGGGTATTTATGATTATTATATTATATATAAGCTAACCAAAACAATTTCCTTTTCTGAAACGACAATCAAAATGAACTAGAACAGTGAAAGGTGGCCGGGCTAAATTCAAGAACCAATGAAAAGAGATAGTGATATAGAATATGAATGTCCTGTTCATATTCACAGGACATTCATATTCTATATCACTATCTCTTTTCATTGGTTCTTGAATTTAGCCCGGCCACCTTTCACTGTTCTTCCTTTAAGTTTGCATTTCAAAAGAAAGAATTGACAAGACAGGATATAATTACCACAAAGGGGACTACATTAACATAATAGCAATACAGGCCCAATTTCAGTACCCTGGGCCTTTTGGTTATCGAGAAGAAGTAATTTGAAATATTTAATATATTTGACCCCTGTGGCTTTGAAAGTGGGTCAAGGTCACTCATTTGAACAAACTTGGTAGCCCTTCATCCCAGCATGCTACAGGCCCAATATCAGTAACCTGGGCCTTTTGGTTATTGAAAAGAAGTTGTTTAAAGTAAAATATTGACGCCGGACGCCGCGCCATGGCATAAGCTCACTTGCAGAAATGTTCCTGACAAATTCCACTCAAGTTGTTTGTTTGATTGGTTTTACGTCTGCTTCACTAACAAGGAGTTCGGAAATTCATCAGATAACTCTAACAGATCAGTTCACCCATTTTCAATAGTTCAGTTGTCACACAAAAACAAAAACAAGAGGCCCAGAGGGGCTGTATCGCTCACCTGGCTATGTTTAAAGTACTTGATATAAGGTAATATAGCACTCCATGGTAGGTACTGTATGTACATATGAAATTTCAGAAAGATCCATCTAGTATTTCTTTTCTGGAGATACAAACTTCAAATGTCAAACCTAAGATGGCGGCCTGGTGGCCATCTTGTTTTAATGAATACACCCTAATAGTAACAGGCACTACTAGACAACTTGATCAGACAAAATAGGGATAAAGTCCCGTATTCCCTATGGTAGAAGAAGGATTTCAAAGGTTTTACCTCTATTTCCCCAATTGGGCCCCGCCCCTCTGTCCCCAGGGGGGACACACCCACCGTTTATACAAAATTTAGTCCCCTTGGCCCAAGGATGCTTCAGACTACATTACGATAAATCCCTTTATTCCTACAGTAGAAGAAGGATTTTAAAGTTTTACCTCTATTTCCCCTATTGGGCCCCTCTTCACTGCCCCTAGGGGGGCCACACCCACTGTTTATACAAAATAAAGTGCCCTTGGCCTAACAATCCTCCAGACCAAATTTAGTTAAAATCCACTAAGCCGTTCAGGACTAGTTCCGTTTTAAAAGTTAACGGACGGGCAATAAACACTCCACCATGGCAGCTAGGTGAGCTAAAATATGGGAGACATGCAAAAATGAATGCAGGCAATAAATTCTTTGTCAATTTTCAAGAAAAACAAACACATTGAACCATAAGTTCCGTCCCCTTAAGGAAACAAAAAATTTGCAGCGTCCCTGAGATGTGGTGCTGGGGATATCGCGGCACACAAATCAGGTTGCCTGAACATGTTGCCAGAAGTGCACAGAACATTGCCGCTAGTGGTGACGTTCTGGTGACATTCTGGTGATGTTCTGGCACACATTTCATATCACCAGAATATCACTAGAATTGCACCACTGATAAGGAATTTCCACGATCCTCTGTAAATTGCCTGAACAGAGTTGGCCATCCAAAATAAAAAATTCCAAAATGGCTGATGAATGATAAAGTAGAGCTCATGGTAAAAGGAAAAGTTGGGTGAAATAAGGAGGCTTTAGCCTTTTTTAGATAAAGTTATACAATTCTTGAGTCTAATAAGGTAATGTAGAATAATCCACGGTCACAAAACATGAAGAATCTTAAATGAACTGTAGTGCGTTTTCATAAGTTTGAGTTGTGTCTTACACAGGATTAATGTAACATTATTTTACAGTACATGTCACACCAAATACACATGCATGCATCTGAGTGCTAAGTAGTAATTTTGCAATAATTAGAAAATCTGTATCTTTATTTCCAATTGACATTTAATTGCCACATATATGTAACAGGTGAGAGAATAGTGTGCTTCCACCGGGGATCAAATCCTCGATCTCCAGGTTCCTAGTCGGACGCTCTACCACTGAGCTAAAGGGAAATTCCCTCTAGCTCGAAGATAGAAGGCGACCTTAATCCTATGTACAATTGAACCCTGCCACATATATATATATAATCTATACTTGACCAAATCTTTCATTACGAATGCATCACATTCCGTTCAGGTATTTATCAAAACATTGTTATTTCTATGCAGAATTTTTTCTTATAAAGTTGTTCATAATTATACATTATAATATGAAAAGGCAAAGCCTAAAAAGAGCGTTGCTTTAGTTGATCTCTGATATTTACCGACTCAGAATGAGTTATTTCAAACAGATGTAAGATAAACTTTAAGTCGGCAAGCCGAGGAATAACAATATAACATATGCTCTAATGAATAATATAACACAAGCCCTAACCCTAACCCTATGAGGCATGGTACTCTAGTGGTAAAACGCCAGGGTCATGACCTAAGGGTTGGGGGTTCGAGTCACGGCACGGCACTGTATTGTATCCTTAATCAAGATGCTTTACATGCTTGTTCCAGTCTACTCAGCTGTAAACGTGTACGTGGTTGGGCAGTTCTAGAATTGTAGAATGCTAGCTGTGAGTGCCGAAATGGCAGCACCGGCTGTATTCTCCCCAGGGAGTTGAGAAAGATATTGGCTGGTTGTTGGCTGGTTGTTAAGGCCCTATAACTATGCACCGATAATAATTTGTGAACCGCTTTGAGACGACCTACGAACTAGGTTGTGATAAAGCGGTATATAAGAACCTCAAACTATTATTATAATTATTATCAATGAGATTTTAAACCGACATAACAATTAGGGGCGACCAGGGCAAGTTCGACCAATTTTATTAAAGTCTGTTCTGGTAAGTATGGCAGCACGTTCGGTTTTTGAAAAATTTAACTTTTTCTGTTGGAAGATCGGATGGCCAAATGAGCCCCGCCATGGGGTAAATTCAGACAGGTATTCAGTTAAGTTCGGCCCCCGTTGGAATCAGCTTAATTATGACGTCATAAAGCATGTGCATGTCTGTGCCCAATATTGATATTCCAATAAATTTGTAGAGAGAGTAATATGGTCGTAAGTGCTTGGCTTTAATTTTATGTATATAATTTGACCATAACTAAAGTAGGTATTCCATTTACAGAAAGTTCACATAACTTTAAAGAAGCAAGATCATGATTTTCTTTCTACCCTCTCAAAGTAACTTTCTCCTGATTAGTAATTTTATATGAGAGTTGAATTCCTTACCATTTTCCCATGTGACTGTCTAGCCAACTTAACTGCTATGCTCCTTCAAGTTGTAAATATTAGCTCAAAAATAACAAGAGGCCCAAAGGCCTTAGCGGTCACCTGAGTTATATCATAGGTACTGGTAGCTTTATTTTATTGTTTAGATGTCATGTGGAAATCAGCATGTAAACTAAGTGAAATACAATACTTGTCATGTCATCAATGGATAAGAATTTGAAAATATTGGTAAATGTTCCCTTTGGGGCCCCGCCCTAGCCCCTGGGGATGGGGCAGGAATACCAATTTTACAAAGTAATACTCTCATTCACCAAAGATGATTCTGACTAAGTTTGAGTAATTTTCTGCTGAAAATGGATAAAATATATA